TCCCAGCCTCAAGAGTCGCTTGTCAGCACATACCAACATTTTCTACAGGATCTTAAATAAGTAACTCTACCCAAGTGGTGTGGTTTGGGGCCGATCTAAGACAATTTACTTGAACCCTCTGGAAGTAATGGTGAGCCCACAATGCCCCTCCTCGGCCAGGGCTGTGCCCTCTGACTCTCGAATGTTTCACTGGCGGCCCAGGCCTCCCCTGCCCTGAAGACAGATGCCAACATTGGTGCAAACGCTGAGGGCCGGGGGCTCCATTGAGAATCTCTCCTGCCTGCAAGCTCCCCTCCCCTTGTGCCCTCGGAGAGCTGGCCCGGGAGCCCTCTGGGCCCAGCAGGGAAGCCAGTACTGGTTCTTGGAAACCAAAGCTAGCAAAGGCTGGTGGAGTGCCCAGGAGACCGGGGAGGTCTGGCTCCCTTCCTGGGAACTCAGGGTCGTGGGCCCCCCGCTGGCTGCAACCTCTGCTGGAACACAGCCCCCCTCAGGGATGACAGTGGGACAAGCCCCCCATTGTGGCTATCCTGCCAATGGGATTTCACTCCAGGGGGCTCCCTGAGCCCTTCTCCCTGGCAGGGGTGGGCGTAGCACAAGCTGAGATGCCCAGAAGCAGAGGCAGAGGTGGGGGCAGGGAGGGAGACAGAAACTCTGGCCCTGGCCCCCTCTCCAGGAGACGTAGGACCCCCAGGTCCCCAGCTGTCTAGCCTACACCCCGGGAGGCGTTTCCAATGCCTGCCGACCCCGGGGGGCCAGCCCCCGCCCCGGAACAAAGAGCAGCACTTACCATGATGGAAAAGATGAGTGGGATGAGGTTGAGGGGCCAGACCGGGCAGAAGCAAGAGGTGATGGCAAGGATGAGGTAGTCTTTGGGGACTTCCTGGTCCTGGGCGTAGGAGGTGGTGGCGATGGAGGATGCCCGCCTCGAGCTGGCCCGGGAGGGCGACCGAGTGGGTGGGGCCTCCAGGCGCCCCTCGGAGATCACCTTGAAAGGCAGGCTGTGGCCATTCTTCTCCAGATCCAGAGCCCCGGAGAGGGACTTAGACAGACTCAGGGTCTTGTCCTCCTTGTCCTCTACCTTCGTCAGGAGCTTTTCCATCTCCGGCAGGTCTAAAGGTGAGGTGGAGCCCGGCTCCTGCGCTGGAGGAAACTGAGGCTGCACGGGGTTGGCCATGTCGGCCTGGGCTGTGGGCTGCTCCAGCTCCAGGCTGGGACGGGGGTCCAGAGGAACTTCAGCGCCCCATTCTCCAGCCTCACTCTCTATGTCAGGGGCAGAAGTGTCACCCAGGTGACCGAGGGTCAGCAGGCTGGAGGGTCGCTGAGTTCAGAGGCTGGGG